GGTTTCTCTGCCCTCATCCCTTTTTCCTCCTTCCATCCCCAGGACAGTCAAAGAGCCAAAGCTTACCTATTGGAGAGGAAAATAAATAAATAAGGAAAAAAATCCCTGGATGCACATCGTGACCGTCTCCTCCCCGCCTGCAGCCCCACATTCCAGTTTGCAAAAGCCAGCTGCCCTTCCCTCTTCCTGGGCAAGTGGTGATCCTTTGACCTCCGAAACGTTGCCATTCAGCCAGAAGGGAGAGGAGAAAAGCCCGGGGCCTGCCTTCTTTTCTTTGCGGCTGTCATTAACAGGGGCCCCAAAATACCGGACGCTGCCGTCCCATGGAAGCCATGTTTATTCATTTCCAGACTGGGGTGGGGTAATAGAGTCTAGTGGTTAGAGCAGTGGGATGGAGGGACTGAACTTTCGTTTTCTGCCCAAGTGGAAACGTCTGCCCCTGCTAGAGGTTACAGAAAATGATTTTGCTCTACCTTGTATTTCTCCCCCCCCCCTTTTAATAACCCAACTTTTCTGCATTGATGCAATGTTTGATTACCATTTTTAGTGTGGCATTGGTCTGATTCTTTTAAATATGCGTAGGCTTGCTATTTTTAGTTTTTAATTTTCGTCTTTTAATCGATGTAAACTGGCTTTGGGTCCTTGTCTAAGGACCCAATGTGGTATAAAGCATGCTTTAAATAAATAAAATAAAACACTGCTCCCTTCCCCATTTCCTCCCCCGGAAGGATGCCTGCGAGGTAAGAAAAAGCTGAAAGCAGGGGCCTGGCCCAAGAACATCCATTAAGATTCAGGGCGACCGGCAGAATTTGAATCTGGCTCTTCTGAGTTCCTTATCCAACCCTTTCATCGCGACACGGTGTGAGCTTTGGGGACTACAACACCCAGAATCCTGCAGCCAGAACAATGGGTGTAGTAGCTGGGCAGTTCTAAAAGCTGCTGTCCAGAAAAAAAAATAGGATCGTCATCATCATCTCAGAAATCACACCATTAGAGCCGCAAAACCCGGCAATATTAGAAACAGCATATATCCTGGGTCGATATTTAACAGATACTTAGGTTTTTGGTCAAAACTTGTATCTGTTACATAATACCAGTCCATGTTTTTATAATTTTGACTGTGCCTGGAGTTTTTCCATCATCATCATCATCATCATCATCCTAGGATGGGAGGCCAAGCGGCTCCGGGGCAGTTGCTTTTCAGGACCAGGTGAGGAGCGAGTCCTTTGGGGTAACCGGACCATGTTGGCTGCCTTGATTTGGTCTCGCCCACCCTACCAACCCCACCGATCCAGGTTTTCCCAGACAAATCTCCCCCTCCCACCCCTGTCCTCATCCTGCACCCTCTTCCCTGTAGGAGACTGAGGTCTGTGTCTGAGAAGCCCAAAACAGATTCTAGAGGGAAGCTTGGAACTCAGCAGCAGTGACCCCCTCAAGGCGACCCCCAAGTTTCGAGGACTGCCCGCTCTCTCTCCCCCTCCTCGCTTCCCGATTGCCTTTTCTCGTTCTTTCTTTCTCCACTTGGCTGCCCCCATTCTCAGGGTTATTTACTCAACAGATGGCGAGTGTCGGAATGCAAAAGCCTCTCTCTGTGTGTGCTTGTGCGTGTGTGAGTGTGAACACACACTATAATTAGCATAAGCACGATCCCCAGCTTTTCTGCGGCCCGTGCGGGCAGATGTCCCGTGCATCCGTGCACCCTCGGCGCACATGCGCAGAGAGGCCGATGCACAGATGGGAGACATAAGTGGGTTTTTTTTTCACCCCCTTCCTTTCTGGCTTAGGAACGCAGAAGCAAACAGGGCTTGGGTGCGAGGAGTAGCAATTCTCACGTAAATCCTCATCGCGGGTTGCTAATGACGCTTCGAAACTGCGACGTGGGTCCTTTTTTAAGATCCAAAGATTAGGAAAGGCTAGAACCTTTGAACCTAAGCTTCATATCTGAGTCTTTAAGGGTGGCATTTGGGCATAGCAGTAAACATGCCGGGCAGAATTCTTGTCCTTGGCTGGCCTGCGAAGATGCATCTCTGTGAGTGCATGTATTTGTACACATGGGGAGGGGTTTTAAGGGGTAAAAAAAAAAACCGTTTTAGGCACTCTGATCCATGGCCACCTTGCAAAGCCTCCCCCCCC